GGGCGGGTACCGGAGGGGGCGGGGTCCAGAGAGAGTGGGTTCCAGAGGGGGCCGGTACCAGGAGACGGTCATGTGACCGGGGTGTTTCCCTGCACCGGTGCCGCACCTGCTTTTTCCCGAACTACATGCTTCTACAACCAGCACCCTTCTCCACTTCAGTACAACCTAAATCCCCACAGAAGTCAGTGCTCTTGTATTGTGTAATTCCTCTTTATCTGCCTTTCACTCTGCGCTTTTGTTTTAAAATAATCCTCATGCTGATTTCCGTGCTGATGTCTACAGCAGAATATATGTGTCTATTTTCAAGGCCATCAGCCCATTTATTTCACAATAATAAAGATAATTAATGTGGAACTAATTAAAAACAGATTGAAATCGCCAGCTGCAGTCTTCGCTGTGACACAAACACGGGAAGCGTGGTCTCTGCACATCACATGGTAGCAGGTTATTGTTGTTCTTCGTGACGAGATTAATGCTTGTCAGCGTGCATCTCGTGTTATTCACTGAATAACTGGGGGCCAAATTTGGCAGTTTCCTCACTTGTTGTTTAATGTTACTGGATGTAATGAACCATCACACACTTTTTGTGAAGAAGCCCCCCCCCCTCTGTTTTCTATCGGGGTGACAGGGGAGTGGTGGCTCACGGGTCACAGCCAGGAGAATAATCTATGTTTGATGAGTGCTGTAGAGGACCGTGAGTGTTGGCCAACGTGAAACGCTGTGCCAATCTGTCAGAACCACACGCGGCCCGGTTCACATCCACCCCATTCCATCAGAGCCGTCTGATCTGCACCTGGCCGTCCGGACAGAGACCACCAGGCACCAGAATCACGGCCACACAGGGCTTTACGCATCATTCCCATCCTGTCACGGATGATTTCTGCGACACTCCTCTCCTCCATGCTATGTGGGGAGAAGAAAAGATGGGCGTCAAACACACGTCTGTTAAAACTACACCGGCATCTGGGAATATCTGCACTACTAAGGGTGACTTTTTGCTGAGGGAGTAGCGAAGACGGGACTGACACTGAGGGTCCCACAGGAACAGCGCTGAGAGGAAGGCCGCTTCAACACAAACAGTGAAGTCGTTTCTGAAACACAAGGCAGCAAACACACTCTACAAAGTCAGTCTGTTTTTTTTTTCTGTTATTGCACCTCTTTCTGCAGATGCTGCTACATCCGTATTAGTTTTCGTGTTTTCTTGTGCAGTGAAGTTCCAATCCATTAAACTTCAGAAGCCTAGGAGACCACATTTCAACAAGCACAAATGCAAAGTGCAACAACTTGTAATCACATTTTGCATTTTTATTCAATGTATTGTATTTAGCCTGCTCCAATTGTTTCGTTAGAATATATTAATATATTATAACCTTGAACACAAGTTACATGATTTGTATAATATTTTAGATTATGCAGAAAACGTTTATAAAAAATGTGAAGTCAATTGTATCGGTTGCTTGGTAGCTGAAAAGAATGTTAAGATGTTCAGAACGTATTTATGAAACTTGTACAAAACATTTATAAAACTGTGCTAATGCTAGGTGCCAGTCAATTACCATAATATGAGATGCAAATAGGCCAAACACCCATATCTATGTTTTCATAACAGTCATGCATATTGATGTACATTGTTTGTATTTTCAGTTTTACAAGGATATTGATTTTTCAGTAAAAATCAAGAAAAGTCACACTGCTTTTTTATTGGAGATTGATTAGATACTCACTAGCTGTCTAGGTTGCATCAATCGGGGCGCCTTGTGAGATCACGGTGACGCACAAAATGAAAGACACATGACCGATTCTGACGCAACTTAACAACGATTATTAGTCTATAGACCAGGGATCCCCGATTAATTGTCCTCAGGGGCCAGATTCAACCAACCATATAAGGGCAGGGGTCGAAAAAATTAATTGACATTCTCACAGTGCCGGCTTAGGTGAGGAAAGTACAGCCTTTTCCCTTTTAAGTCAATTTTAAATGGAAAGCTTCAACGGATACATACATCTCTGTCACAGTGTGCTTCCTGCCTAGCAGTTGTAAATTAAGCTGATTTAGAAGAGACAAAATGTTCAAAAAAAATTTCTCATAAGCCATTTCCTTGCTGTCATTCAGAAAATTCAAAAAAGTGTGGGCGCTTTGGCTCTGCATGTCATTTAAAAATTAACAAAGTTCATCTTGTTCTTCACACAGTTCCTCCAGCACTCTACTCTTACTTAGCATATCGTTATTTATTAGTATGCCATAATATTCTGCTGACATTTCCTCCAGCAGGGCTCTGAAGAGGTGATCCTGTAGACTAGAACTCTCACAAATGATGTTTACAAATTTCATTACTGTATCCATGACGTCTTTCATTTTCCAGTGAACACTGACTTATGGATGATGCAAAGGAAGGCCATTAGGGCGGCATTAAAAGCAGATAGCCTGCTAACTGTACCCTCGCGTCGTCCACATCGATGGCGCTCAGTCAGTGACGACAGAAGTGATGCTCATCATGTCAAAGCCACTTTTTTAAAAAAGAACTGGGTCAGTTCATTTCAAATTACTTCACCAGTTGCGTGTCGCTGTATTGTTAATAAATAAAGCACCTCTTCATGAAAAGCCTTCCCACCGGAATATCTTACGAACATAGACGGCTGCTCTACGTCAGTCGGTCACAAGACGAGTCAAAGGCAAGTGATAGGAAATTTGCTTCCTGTAAATCGCTCACAGTGACAGGCAGTCCTGTGGCAAATCTTCCACTCTTCTCACTGCAATGTTCAACAACCCACACTTAGCCCGGTTGCTTTTACCGTGTCCGAGCACAACTGCCCCCCCCCACTCCCCCGCTGGTCTGCGCTCATATTGCGCTTTCATCATCACCATGCAACTTTTTGGGTTGAAGAAAACACTGGAAGAAAGCGTTATCGCCCAGCATGATGGAGCTCATGATACATGTCCTCATTTAGTGGTTTATTTGGAGTCATTTTGGGCGCAATGACACACAACTCTCTTATAGATTATATCGAGTGTGGAATGCAGCAATTTTTATTTAATCGTGCTGCACATATGAAGTTACTCACGTATTTCACCAAATATCTCGGAGTGTTTATGTCTTACATCCCGTTGTTCCTGGATACTCTTGTCAGGCCAGATTTCCAGAAAACGCAGCACCTTGGCCATAAACCAAAGTGATCGCTTTGCCACAATGTTTGTTAAATGTTTGTTGCCATGTGATCTGTACAGCCTACCTTCCGGTTCTGGGTCATGTATAGTGTACATATGTATTTTCCATTTGCATCACTGACAGTTAATCACACTAAATGTGTGCTGGGCCTGAATCAATCCTTCAGCGATCACACTAGTCAAACGAACTAGACTCTGTGGGTCAAACTTTCTCAGTCGTGGTACAGATCGTCTAGTGCAGCGATTCTCAACCCATCGGTCTCGATCCCAAATTTGGGTCGCGGCAAGTTCTCAAAAGGCAGAGTTGGAAATGTAAGTATTTAAAACCCAGCAAGTTGATGTGCTGATCCACGATCAGATTTCCCAGCGCCAATCCTAGAATTAACCCATATAAACGGGTCTTGGGCCTGCAAATGCTTAGCACAAAACTAGTGAATACTCGACCAATCCAAGAAGCCAATCCACAGATGGTTAATTTAAAATTCACTGGCCTCCAATCAGATTTCTGCGACAGGCATTGATTGGTGTAAATTGCAGAGCACACTGTGTGCATGATCATATCGTTAATTTAAACCT